TCACCATTCTTGAAAAAGGTTAAGTTATCATTTGCTCGCACTTATTTCTCCCACACAGATAGTTGCTCACTATTTGCTTCTCTTTTTTGTAGAAATGTGGGTTGAGTAGAGGTGGTCAAGGACCAGTCCCAAGCAGGCCTAAGCCTGGTCCTTTTGGGACTAGTCCCATTTGGGACCCGTCGCTCATGGGCCTGGGACCAGTCCTAGGCCCATGAGCAATTTGAGGACCCGGACCGGTCTTAGGATCGATCCTATAGGCCTGGAAAATTTATTTTCCCCCCCTGATCTTTTTTTATATTTTAGGGGTGAAATAAAATTTTGTTGGGGGTTTTTAGTATTTTTCAGGGGTAGATTAGTAAGTTTCTAGAAGTTTAATTAATTTTATAAAATAATAAATAAATTAATAGTTAATTTTAACATAAATGTAATATTCACATTTCACACATTCACGCTTCACAAATAAACAATTAAATAATTTTTTTTTTTTAAATTATTCATCTTCATTGTCAACAATATTTACATCATTCAAATCTGTATTCCTAAAGAGTTCGAGTAGTTCGGGATCTTCAGGGTGCTGTTGTAGTCTTCTTTCCGCATGAGTCTAATCCCGTAAACATGTTATCACTTCAATCATCTCATCGGTTAAAGAACATCTTCTGTCTTCAACAATCTGGCCACTCATTGAAAATGTTGACTCGGATGCAATTGTAGAAACCGACATAGATAAAATGTCACGTGTCATTTGGGCTACAATGGGGAATCGACTTTCATGTTGGTGCCACCATTGAAGAATATCCATGTCACGTTTCTCCTTCATCGTCATGAAGGACAAGTCTACTTGTATGTAGCGATTTAGCTCATTTGGTCCATGTATGTACGAGCTGGAGCTACTACTTCCGCCATGTTCCATATACTTCCACTTGCTTGATCCTTGACGGAGGTCTGTATCAGGGTCCTGATCATCTCTCCTAAACATTCCACTTCCACTTCCATTGTACCTGTTCTCATATAAAGAAAAAAGGCTATCCAATTTTTGTTTAAAGTCAGTCAAATAAGACGTACAATCATGTCCTAAATGCTGGCCTAACTCAGTAATTATACAGTTAACTACGTGTAATTTAAACCTAGGATCTAAAACAAGGTCTAATCCATATAAGAATGGAATATCTAACCAATATTTCTCATATTTTTCTTCCATCTTTGAAACAATTTCCCTTAAAACGTTATTATATCTATATTTAGCAAAAGTTTTAGCTATTTGAAGTAAAATATCTAACACTAAATTAGTAATCGAATAACAAATACCACTTAATGTATTAGTGGAATCATAACATTTTTTAAGAAATGAATAAAAAAGTTCAAAAACCGCCCAATCATCATAGCTGACAACTTTCTCTGGATAGTGCTTCCGGTTGACAAAATCTGTAATTTATTTTGCGGTTGGCAAAGCTTTTTCCAACATCAAGTAGGTGGAGTTCCAACGGATAGGCATGTCCATACATAATTTCAAAGGTCAAATCGGTGGGTCCTCTTGCTTACAATATTTGACGTACTCTTGCCATCTTTTATTGCTACCGCCAACGATAAATCCGATAACCGCGTGCACCCTCTCCATCTTCGAATGTATAGCATCTAAACCTACTTTAACTATCAAATTGATGATGTGGAAAGCACATCTCTGGTGAAAAAATTTGCCTTCACCACGCGGATCCAATCTCTTTTCAAATAAAGAGATTGTCGCGGTGTTAGCAGCTGCATTATCAAGCGTTAGCGCTACAACTCTATCAGTTAATAGATATTCTTGCAAAACTTCAAGAATTGTAAAATAAATAGTTTTAGCACTATGTTTTTCATATAATTGTTTAAAACCCATCAATTTTTGTTGTAAACCCCAATTATGATATAAGAAATGTACTGTGATAGTTAAAAAATCGGTTTTTTATCTACAATCCCATATGTCCGATGTAAGTTAAATAGATATATTCCTAAAATTTTGAAATTCGTTTTTAAGTTTATTATTTATTTTGTTATAAAGTTTTAGGATATCTCTTTTACTTGTACTTCTACTAATAAGGGTATATGCTGGACAAAATGCAGTTTTAATCATGTGAATAAAATAAGGATTTTCAGATAAACAAATGGGAGAGTCCGTAACAACTATGAATCTTGCTATTTCCTCTCGTGCAACATGTGCATTGTATTGCCATGTTGAGAGAGTTGAGGATTGTGGATTAAAATTAAGTTGAGTTTGAATTTGTCTAACTGATCCAGTTGAAGATGTACTGGGCAGTTGCATTGTTTGGGGGTGCTTCTTCTCCAAGTGTCGTCGCATCGTCGAAGTCCCATTCTCAGTGCCAATAATGGTTCCACAGAAATTACATACCCCACACAATTCTTCCCCTTCCCCATTTGTTGTCCTGGCCGAATGTGGTTGTGGAATTGCAGTTGCTGCCTCTGGAGGAAAGGGTGAAAATGGATTGAACCCTTCTATTTCTTCAGTGGATGGAACGTAAAACTCATTTGGGGATGATCCTCCGAATGCATCATTTCGGGAATCCATTATGAATTTATGATAAAATAATAAATAATTAAAATGAAAAAAAATTAATTAATAATATGAATAAGATATGATATTGAAAAATAGAAAAAATTGAATAATATAAATAAATAAATAAATAATATGAATAAATTATAAATATAAATATAATTTGAATGAGAATTTGATTGGAGATTTGGAGTAGAGAGTAGAGAGATTGAGAGAATGAGAGAATGAGAGATTGAGTGGTGTGAAAAAAATGAGAGGTCCAAATGACCATTGGCTATTGTTTGGCAGCCAATGGTTATTAAACAAAAGTAAATTTTTTTTTTTTAAAATTTTATAAAATTTCCTTTTAACCCTTATAATTTATGTTTATTTCAAAATTTATAAGGGGTTTTATGTAATTATATAAGAGACTAAAAAGATTTGGGCCCAGGCTTGGGACCAGTCCTAGGCCCGGGCCTTGGAAGAGGGCCCAGTGGAGGGACAGGGCCCTCCTCCTTAGCAGGACCAGGCCTCTTAAGACTGGGTTTTTAGACCTAGTCCTAAATGCCCACCTTTAGGGTTGAGAAGCCAAAAGGCCTTAAGAAGAAGTATCTACAAACCTCTGGCATTTATCACATATGCGTACATAACCTGCTGCATCGTCAAAAATTGTTGGCCAGTAATACCCTTGGCGAAGCACTTTGTATGCTAGAGATCTGCCTCCTGCATGGTTCCTGCCAATCCCCTCATGGATCTCCCTTAGAACATAATCTGCGTCCTTATGGTCGATACATCATAGCAGTGGTACATTGAATCTGCGTTTGTACAATTTATCATTAATGAGCGTGTACCAAGCAGCCTTTGCACAAAGTGTTCTAGCTTCAATTCTCCCCTCTGGCAGGGTACCATCCCTTAGGTAGGTAATGATTGCGTCCATCCAATTATATCTCCGACTCATTGCTAAGACTGGTTCTTTTGGAGCGGAGATGCTTGGTCTTGGGAGGAACTTAACTGGAATGGAATGAAATCAGCTTTCTCTTGGTTCATTGTAGACGCTAAGCAGGCTAAAACATCAGCTACTGAGTTCTTTTCTTTTGGGATCTGGAGAATTGTGAAGGATTTAAACTGTTTGAGCTTGGTTTCCACCAGTTGGAGGTAGGACGCAATCCTATCTTCCTTCGCCTGGTATTCCCTGGTAATTTGGTGGACTACGAGTTATGAATCACTGTAAATTTTAATGGACTCTGCCCCCATTTCCTTGGTGAGGCGGATCCTTTCGAGCCCGAATCTTACTACAGCTCTAATAGGGTTTCCTTCTGGACTTTTGAGCAAAAGCCCTACTTTTGCCCTTTTCTCGTTCAAAGAGCCATCCACATACATAGTCCATTGCCATAGGTCATCAAGCTTTGGTTTCTATTGCTTGACTTCTCCTAAGGTATTTGCCTCTAGCGAGCTTGGTTCCCTTTCCGGCTGATAGGAGAATTCTGATATGAAATCCGCCAAGGCCTGACCTTTGATTGCTGTTCTCGGGATGTACTTGATATCGTGCTGACTCATTTCCATTGTCCACTGGATCAATCTACCCGATGTCTTGGGCTTTTGCATTATTTTCTTCAAAGGAAAGTTGATCAGCACGTGAATGGAGTGTGCTTGGAAATAAGGTCGCAGCTTCTTGACAACGATGACAGGGCCGAAGACGAGCTTCTCCATTTTAGGGTATCTCATCTCCACATCGAGTAGCCTTTTGTTCACATAGTATACTGGCCATTGCACTCCTCCCTTTCACGTACCAATGCCATGCTGATAGCGGACTTTGATGCCAATAAGTACAATAGCAATGACTCGCCCTGTATGGGTTTTGACAACAAAAGAGGTTGTCCCGGAGGTTTCTTTAGCTCCTAGAAGGCTCTTTCTCACTCCTTTGTCCTCTTGAAACCTTTGTTCCCCTCAAGGTCTCAAAGAATGGTAAGCATCTGTTTATGGCTCGAGAAACAAACCTGTTGAGTGTGGCCACATGCCCCGTCAAGCTCTGTACCTGCCTTATGCTAGTCGGGCTTTTTACATTGAGTAGAGCTTGAATCTTTTATGGGTTGGCTTCGACACCTTATTGATTTATGAGGAAGCCGAAAATTTTTCCGAAGCTCACTTTGAAAGCACATTTTAAGGGATTGAGCTTCATTCTGTATCTTTTGAAGATGTCAAACATTTTCCCCAGATGCTCAATGTGGCTTTTGGCGACCTTTGACTTGACAAACATGCCATCTATGTATACCTCCATAGTCTTATCGATTTGGTTGACGAACATCTTGTTCACTAGGTGTTGGTAGGTAGCCCTAGCATTCTTGAGGCCAAATGGCATAACCTTGTAACAATAAATTCCATAGTCAGCAATAAATGAGGTATGCTCTTCATTGAGCTGGTACATCGGGATTTGGTTATATCCCGAGTACGCATCCATGAAGCTAAGTAGTGTGTTTCAAATTGTTGCATCTACAAGTTGGTCAATCTGTGGTAGCGGAAAGTTGTCTTTTGGACAAACTTTATTTAGATCCGTGAAGTCAACGCAAGTCTGCCATTTGCCATTCGACTTCTTAACCAAGACTGGGTTGGAGAGCCAATCCGGGTACTTCACTTCTCTAATGAAATTGATGTTTAGGAGTTTATCAATTTCATCCTTGAGCGCTTTGGAGCACTCTACATCTATAGACCTTCTTTTATGCCTTATCGGCCGAGCTTTCGAGTCGATGTTCAGCTTGTGACACATTACCTTGGGGCTGATCCCTACCATATCCGCATGCACCCATGCGAAAACGTCAAGGTTTTTCTTCAAAAACCCCGCCAGGTTGTCAGCCATGTCTTTGCTCAAGTTGCTGCCAACTTTTTGTATGCGAGTTGGATCTTCCTCGCTAACACATATTTCTCGCAACTCTTCTGTCGGCCCTGCTGTGGGCTTTTCTCTATGTATGCGAGGATCAATAGTATCCTCGAGAGGCCCAAGGTTTAGCTCAGATTATGTGATAACCACTGTCCTCAGGAGCGACCATTTTTGTGCTACATGTATGGCCCGGTTGTAATATTCCCTAGATTCCTTTCTACAACTATTGATAGTCGCGACTCCCCCGAGAGTAAAAAACCTCATTGCTTGGCAACGCACTGATGTGATTGCACTCAAGTCATCCAAGATCGGTCTTCCGAGGATGACATTGTATGTGATTGGGTAGTTTACCACTAGGAATTCGGCCATCACCATCCTTATCTTAGGCTCTGCCCCAAGAGTCACGGGGAGGTCGATCATCCCCTTAGGAACCAGGCTATCATCAGTAAATCCATAGAGCGGCAAAGGGCACGCCTTCAAGTCTCTTTCTGTGAACCTCATTCCTCGAAAAGCTTCCAAGAAAATGATGTTTGTTGCACTCCCATTATCGACCACTCCCATTATCGACCATCACCCTCAGTACTTTGGCATTGCTGATTCTTGTTGCGATTACGATCGCATCATGATTATGGCGAGGGGATTCTTTGCATTCTTCAATCGTGAACCCTACTACCTCGCTCTCTTATGTGGGTTGCTTCAGCGGTTTCTATTCACAACTCATTATTCGAGGCACCGAATCTGTTCTGGCCTTACAAGCATATTGTTCGCAGGCACACCTTAAGCTGTTTGCTGTGTCGGGCCCCTCGTAGATCATGCCTACCAGGACCTCATTGTTGGCGTTTGTTGGGGCTTGTTGGACCTGGTTCTAGGCTTGATTGTTTTGCTCGCTAGCACTTTCACGAGCCGGTGCCTCTTTGACAAATTCCTTTAGGTGGCTCTTTTGAATCAGGTCTTCGATGGCATCTTTCAAAACATGACACTCATTGGTATTATGCCCGATGTCCTGGTGGTATCGGCAATATTTTTGCCAATCTCTTCTACTTGGAGCCCCTCTTATCCTTTCTAGAGCTGGCAATCTTTTTGCCTCGCGGGAGACTTCATAGATGTGGGTTATGTCTCGCGTGAGGGGGGGTATATTCTGCATACCGGGGGAAGGGCTGCTTGTCCCCGCGGTTATCTGTTCTCTGTCTTTTTTGGGACATGTTGCGATCCCTATCATTACGGTCTTGGCCCCTGTGCTTGTCTGATGGGCAATCTTGTCGCCTATCTAGGGCTCCTCATGTCGAGCTTCTGGGCAACGCTGCTAACGAGCTTTCCACTCGTTCATGTTTTGCAACCATTTGGTAAAACTTGGCCAGATTTACGTGGTTTTCGCTTTGGAGCTCTTTCAACAACTCCGTGTTTGGCTTGATGCCAACAATTAACAAAGTCTGGACTGACTTTTCAAGTGCATCCGCGACCTTCGCTTGCTCATTCTGGAACCTCGTTAAATATGAGGTTAGGGTTTCATCTCTCTCCTAACGAATATTGCTCAAGTAGCTGAGCGGCATCGCGAACTGTCTCCTTGCTTGGAATTGTTGCAAGTACCCTGAGGAGAACTGTTGCCAAGAACTGAGGGAGTTCGCCTTGAGTCTTTTATACCACCTCTTGGCATCTCCTACCAATGTGACCGCGAAGTAACGACATTTCGCTAGGTCACAGACCTGGTGTAGCTCCATCAAGTCATTGAAATTGTTGAGGTGGTCTTTAGGGTCTTCTCTTGCGTCGAACTTACTCTCTGGTGCCCTGAATCCCTGTGGGAGTGGGGCCTGGCGAACCTCCTCTATAAAGGGGGAACCCACTATTTCTTCGACTGTACCGTTCTGGGGCCCCTTAGATCGTCGAGCATTTTTTGCACACAATCCAAATATTTATTGTGGTTGCCCTGGCTGGCCCTGTTCAGCCTTACTTCGAGCAAGTGTGTTCGCAAGTCTGTTGCCTGTGAAGCCCCTCCATTGCGTGCATTGATGCGCGAAGTTGAGTCATGATGGCTAGGTTGATAAGTACTATCATGCTCATCGGTACGTTGCCCACGATGTCGGTTATAACTAGAACGTTGGTCATTGCCAGACTGGCATGCATGACTCATCTCGTGAGCTTGCGAGGATCAAGCTTGTTTTAGGCGTGTGTTAAGACCAGCACGCTGACGCTGGGGATATTGTCATGCATTTTGGGGGTGACCATTTCCTTTGCCTTCACCCAATGGTTGCTTCCTTGGTCACCTTCTAGGGTTAACTTGCCTACGGGACTCACGCTCGTGAGTGGAGTGTCGGGGGTGTTGATCGCCTCTTGGTGCTGATGAACTAGACTAGCCACCTGCTAAATTCATACATATTGGGGTGGCATTGGTGAAGCGTGGCTGATCAAGATTTTGGGCGGTTGGTTGCTGATTTCTTAACTTAACCATGTTCTATTGCACCACCTGTGCAACCATAGTTCTGATAATTTCCACCAACTGGCCATTCTCGAGGTTTAACGTTCCTACCCCTTGGTTATTCATGGTATGCTGAGATGGGGGCAATGGTGGTCGATGTCTAACGACATCCTGTTGCACCTCTTGATGGGTGGTTTCCATGGCATCGTTGTTTTTGGTGGTGGTTTTTTATCTTGTACATACCATCGTGAGTTTGGAGTGGTTAAATTACTGGGTTGTTAGTCGGAATTTCTGAGATGTTGGCAGAGGCCCTTCCTCTAGCGCCAAAATGTTGATATAGAAATCTGCATCAACTAGAGTGATCCGATCAACCTTGGTGGGATCAGAACTGGTGTGTGCGTGATTACTGATAATCAGCAATGAACAAATAATGAATGTAAAGAAGAAGATGCACATAGATTTTTTAAGTGGTTAGATGAGATAAATTCTTAAGCCTCTGTCCACTGTTCTTTGTATTTGCTATAAGAGCTTACAGTCTAAGTTCTATTAGATTTTCCTAACCCCTTTTTCATCATTTGAGGGGGTTTATATACAAAGTTTGTACAAGAAGCAAGAGCGAAATTAAAGGGATTACAAATAGATTGAAATGTAACATCAATATTCTCACGATTGGGTGCTATGATTGCGCAAGGATTGCTGTCAATTTGATCATTCCTGTAATATCTGGGATTTGAAGTTATCTGAGAATTGATTGAATGATCATTTAGATTGTTCGTGACTAGCTTGTGCTGAGTCGAGCTATATCACAACGAGCTTATGCTAGGTTAGACAACTAGTAGAGTCGGACTGATTCTGGGTCGAGTTACTACCTCGCAACTCCCTGAGCTTGGTGGAGAAATCACACACAACAGAGATGGAAAAATTATATTCTTGTCTCATAATAGAAATTTTTTTCATACAACATTATATCTAAAATGATTTTATTTAATAAATATATAAATAAGGTGATATATTTGATTTATCTAACACCCTTAATATCATATATTATTGAAACTATAGTCAAAATACATAACAATAAAAACAGAAAGATAACAAAGAGCAATTGATTTACCTTAGTTTGTTCAAATAAAGGAGCTACGTCTAACATTCAAATAGAGTATTTTATTGAGTTTCAGAAATTTGCATAATACAATAATCAAAAGTATCGGTAGTTCACTCCTGCTCTCTACTTCTCACTATAGGTTTTTCACCATTACAATATGCATATAATAGTAAACTTAATCTCATTTAGGCTATCCGATCTAACCCGACCTAGACCCAAATATTTGCAATTCAATTATAAACCTAATTACTAATTGGGTTTACCGTAAAGGGGGTATTGTCCCCTTACTTGCTCAATGACAAGCGGGACCGTCGAATGCGCCAATGTAAGTTGATAATCTATCAAGGCTATGTAAAGTATGAACCATAACTAACAAATATGATATGATTAGAAATGTGTAGAATGTGAAAACTAATGAAGACATGTATTTTTAATGTCCCGATAATTTGATTCCAAATTCCATGATTTTTTTTTTCTTTATGGGTGACAACCATCTTTGAAGTGGATTTCATATTCTATTTATGAGGATGTTGATTAATTGAATACAATATTAAACTTATTCTTAGCATCTTTGCCTAGAAATCAACCACGTTAGTTAGCATAAGGGTTCTGAAATTGCTTTAATCTACTTTTCAAAAGAGAGATCGAACAAAAATCTCTCAAAATTTTGATCTTCTTCATTGTATATTGAACATTGTGCATTGTTTATGTTAATTAATTTCTCTTCATATTTAATTAATCTAATCTTGTTTTAACTAATAAGCTTATCTATCTACCTAAATGACACATGGTATAGTTAGGTTCTAAAGAGTAATGCTACAGTTATCGAAGGATGCGTATCGAATTCGTGCACCGAATGACGTGACGCAATCCTGATCGTCGATTAATTATAAATTAATATTAATCGACGATCAGGATTGCGTTACGTCATTCGGTGCACGAATTCGATGCGTATCCTTCGATAACTGTATTATTTTCCGGTTCTAAAGAATAATGTATTTTACACAAGTCAATGCCTTAATTTTAATTAATTAGCAGTACAAATTTAAATAAAAAATTAATTATAATATTAATCACTGAGATACGGATTGCTTGAACAAATACAAAGATTTAATTAATTAATTACCTTTAAAATATAAAAAAACTAGACACGTTGTCAAAGCGAGGGTGTGTACTTATCGTTTTTCTAACCAAACTTGATGACTTTGATTAACGCTATTTAAATTATTTAATTAAAGCTTTGGTGTAACAAATTCTTCTGGTTTTAGGTTTAGGCAACCGCCAATCACAGACAGTTTTGGGAAAACAATAAGAACGTGGGAAAAAAAATGGGAGGAGGATATGATTTTTAATATTTTGAAACTCGACTGAGGCCACCAGAATTCTAATATCCAAAGGTTGATGTTCCAGAACTGGAAAAAAACCAAAGCCATGTCTCCATCTTCAACCACCTCCACTATCTTAGTTTATGTCATTGTTAGAGAACAGGAATAGCTGTTTACTATCTTAGTTTCTACAGAGCTTCTTCAGCACAGTTTATTAATTTTCATCTGTAATTTCTTTTGTTTTTCTTTCTTATAATTTGAATCATTTCAATAGACAGAGGAAGTTCATTATTTTTCATATAGGGTTTATAGATATTCACCCATCTTTGGGTAACTCAAGTCGCAGGACGAGTATTAGAATGTGTGATTAAAGTGTACGGGCTCAGATTCGAATCTACTTGACTCCTAGGATTTAAGCAGGTGATCATGACGGTTGAATGCATGATTGTATTAATGTTTTACCAATAATATTCTACTTAAATCATGGCTGTGGAATGCAACAGATCTCAATTGATATAATTGGTGATGTGTTAACGTCATATTAATGACATGATTTTATGAAGTTATGTTGTAGTTTGTTGATGCTAGGTTTTTGCACCAACGAATTTTCACGTGTATAATGTTGATTGGCTATTCAATACACATGAAAATGGAGTATATGAAAAGTGAAATAAATGTAGAGGGGATTTTTTAAGTGGTTCGGATGCCAAGGTAGCAAGTC